TTTGCTATGTAAATGAAAATGTTCAAAAATTTAGAAAAAAAAGTGTTTTTCTTATTAAATTTTGCAAATAAATAATAATATGTCATCATAAATCTTGGCCAAAATTTATTCCATTATCTTTTTAGTAAAAAAAAATAAGCCAAATTAGTTTATAACCAAAAATTATAATTTTCAAACATTTTGTTTTACATTTTAATTTTTTTTTTATATTATTATTTATTTATTTTTTACATACTGTCACCCTAGCAGTACAGTGTCACCATGGTGACACTGTACTACTTTTGGGGGGTGATGAAGATTTTTTATTTTTTTTTACACTGATTTCTTTTACACCCATATAGGATGTAAAAGCAATCATTTCTCTTTCTCTCTGTCTGCATTCTTGCAGCCATTGAGAACTACTGAGTGAGCACTACATGTGATCACTGATTGGGGAGGTCCCGTCCGACGATCGGTGTTTTACTGTGTCCTCCTCCACAGCGGGCACTGGATCGCGGTGCTGCGCGCTCCCGCGGAGCACGCACAAGCAGGGTGCGGGGGGGGGGCGTTTATAAACGGCCACCCGACCCTGCAGTGCCAACGTCCGGCCGTTTTATATACAACGGCCGGTCGGGAAGTGGTTAATGACTGGCATAATACCACTGGATTGGTGTGGAGCCAATGTGGTGCCTATATTTAAAAAGGGTTCAAAATCTTTACCAAGTAATTATAGATCTGTTAGTTTAACATCTATAGTTGGGAAGATACTGGAAAGTTTAATAAAATACCACATAGATGAGTTCATGCTTGAAAAAAATATATTTTAAGCAACAGACCGCATGGATTCATGAAATACAGAAGTTGTCAAACAAATCTGATTTCTTTTTATGAGGTGGTGAGCAAAACCTTGGACAGAGGGGTGGCTGCAGTGGTGTATTTTGGTTTTGTGCTGCCCTAGGCAAGACTAAAATCAGGCACCCCCTGCATGTAGATTTGTCCCACCCCTTCCTGTTTAAGATCCACCCCTTCATCTGTAAACTCCATCCCTTCCTCTTTATGCTCCACCTCTTGTTTTATTCCATTATCAGTGTCATTTGGAGGAATAGTGCCCCATCACTGGCGTCAGTGGGAGGAATAGTGCCTCATCACTGGTATCAGTGGGAGGAATAGTGCCCATCATTAGTGTCAGTGTGAGAGGAATAGTACCCCATCATTGGTGTCAGTGGGAAGAACAGTGCCCCATCATTGGTGTCAGTGGGAGGAATAGTTCCCCATCATTGGTGTCAGTGTGGGAGGAATAGTGCCCCATCATTGTTGTCAGTGGGAGGAATAGTGGAGGAAATGCATGTGGGAATGTAAGTTTTAGCTAAGTGGAGATGTGAATGGAGCTTGACAACTGAGTGTGTCTACTCCCTCCTATGTACTTGTGTAGCACCCTCCTAGGTAGTTAGAGGGAGCTTGATTTGTTTTTTTTTTTAGCTAGAAAGGCTGAACAGCCTGGTCTAAGATAGAGGGGTTATTTTAGGTCAGGGATAAGAAGTTCTGCAGGTCAGTTTATTGACACCTCCCCCTGCTCTAAAATCTTGGAGAAGATTCTAGAAGCAGTGGGTGGGGGTGAGGATGGACTGGTTTGCACACTTAAGGGACTCTGGCCAATCCCATGCTGGAGGCTTGGCATGGGGCCAGGGCAGCCTTTAAATGTGCTAGAGCCTGTTCAGCAGCAGGAGAGATTGGGTGGAGGATAGAGTGAAATGGCTGAGGAGCAGGAGCCTGGGAGGGAGCCTAGTTGGGAAGGAGCTTACCTCCAGGCAGTAGTGCTGAAGAGGAGGAAATCTTAGACCTCATCGGCCCCCCAGAGAGAGGACCACCTGTGCTTCAGGGAAGGAGCCAGCCCAGCGAAAGGCCTGAAAGCAGCTACCAACCCACCAGCTCATAGGCAAAGGATTGAGTGAGTAATCCTACTACCCCTGGTCAAGTTAAGGGGAAAGAAGCACTCTAATGGGAAACTGGATTAGCTCCTTGTCCGGGACTGTCTCACATTAATGTTGCAGGCACTGGATTCCTTCAGACAGCTGGATAGAGGAGGATTATCTGGGGTGTGGGGACCACCCCACACCAGGAGAGACTGTAGAGCTCTCCAAGAAGAGGATTTTTGTCTAAAAGACATATATAGTTTCAGGAAGTTGTGCTCAATTGCAGTTCTTTTGGGAATACCATACACCCCTTACCCATCCAATATATTTACCCCTAAATAAAATCACCAAAAAACAAGCTCAAGGACTGGTTACTGTCTCCTGGATGCAAATCTGTGAAGAATGTGTGTTGCCTGGCTGTGCAGGACTATAGGGGGACCCAAAATCTCTACAGACTCCTAAGGGGGTAGTGCTTCACTTTTATAAAAGATGGACATTATGCAATCTGATTGTACAATCTCTGTACAATTTCCTTTAGATTTACAAGAACTATGGGATAGGATACACATGAACAATCTATTCAATTTTTATCAAATCAGACAGGCCCTTGTACCAAATAGCTGATGGAAGATCTAAAGGAGATTGTACAATAAGATTGTATAGAATGCAATCTGATGGTACAATCTCTGTACAATTTCCTTTAGATTTACAAGAACTATGGGATAGGATACACATGAACAATCTATTCAATTTTTATCAAATCAGACAGGCCCTTGTACCAAATAGCTGATGGAAGATCTAAAGGAGATTGTACAATAAGATTGTATAGAATGTGAGTGGAAGGTAGTATTGTAATGAGGGAGGTATAGTCCAGAGTGGTGCACCACTGTTCTGTAATGCAATAAGTAAGTGAAACCTTCTAGGAGATGGTCTATAGGAAGTGAATGCTGAGAGAGTATCTACAGGAAGTGAAGGAATCATGAAAATCATTTCAAAAATTCAAATAAACTGTCAAGATTTTAAACCTCCTGGGGATGAGGTAAGTGAGAGAAAAACACATTGGGATGACTGGGCCAGAAATGGCATTGAAAAACATTCTAATATGAGAAGTGAAATTCTGTCCAAAAAGGTGAACCACTTGCCGCCCAGCCACTGTAGATATACGGCAGCAGGGCGGCACTCGCAGGCAAAACCACGTTTTAAAACGTGTGTTTTGTAAACAAATAGGGGGCGCGTGCAAGGCGCGCCGCCGCCCTACCTATCCCGCCGATCACCGCCGCAGATGTGAGTTGCCGGGTCAAAGCCGGTCCTTAGTGGCTGTTTCCCGGCGATCGGCGGCAAACAGTGACAGACAGCACAGCTGCAGTAGCTGTGCTGTCTGTCACTTCCCTGTCAGCTCGAGGATGAGCTGATCGAGAAAGAACAGTTTCTCTTTCTCGATCAGCCTTGTCCCGTCCAGTACACACCCCCACCCCCTAGTAAAACACTCCCCTCACTCCTATAACCCTTCCCTGCAAAATAAAGTTAACCCCTTCTTCCCCATTGCCATTAGTACAGTGTCAGTGTTTTTTTTTTTGCACTGATCACTGTATTAGTGTTTTTGGGGATGTCAGTGACCCCAAGCCAGTACCCCCCAATGTCAGAATGTCCGCCGCAGTCCTGCCATAAGTTGCTGGTCGCTGCCATAAGTCCCTGATCGCCGCCATAATTCGCTGATCGCCGCCATTATTAGTATAAAAAAAAAAAACCTAAAAATCCCAGTATCTTTCCCGCCATTTGTAAACGCTATAACTTTCACGTAAACCAATTAATTTACACGTATTGGGGTTTTTTTTTTTTTTAGCAAAGACATGCCGCAGAATGCATTTTGGCAGAAATTTATGACTAAATTAGATTTTTGCATTTTTTTTTTTTTACTGGACATGTTTTATAGCAAAAAGTCCAAAATATTGTTTTTTTTTTCCTCAAAATTGTCAGCCTTTTTTTTTTATAGCACAAAAAATAAAAACCGCACAGGCGATCAAATACCACCAAAAGAAAACTCAATTTGGGGGAAAAAAAGGATGTAAATTTCATTTATGTACCGTATTGCATGACCGCGCAATTGTCCGTTAAACTAGCGCAGCGCTGTATAGCAGAAAAATGGCGTAAATTGCATTAATTACGCTATAGTTTGTAGACGCTAACCCATAGTTTGTAGACGCTATAACTTTCACACAAAGCAATCAATATACACTTATTTTTTTTACCAAAAACATGTAGCAGAATACATTTTGGCCTAAATTTATAACCAACTTTGAGTCTACTATATATTTTTTATAGGTGAAAGTAAAAAATATTGTTTTTCTTCGAAAGTTTTGGGCTTTTTTTGTTTATAACGTGAAAAATAAAAAGCGCACAGGTGACCAAATTACATTGAAAGAAAGCTCTATTTGTGTGAAAAAAAGGACGTAAATTTCGTTTGGGTGCAGCATTGCATGACCGCGCAATTATCAGTTGAATTAGTGCAGCGCCGAGTAGCAAAAAGAGGCCTGGTCATTAAGGGGGGTAAATCTTCTGGAGTTCAAGTGGTTAACCATTTCAATACCAAGCACTTTTACCCCCTTCATGCTCAGGCTAATTTTCAGGTTTCAGAGCTCTCACACTTTGAATGACAATTGCGCAGTCATGCAACAATGTACCCAAATTAAAATTTTATAATTTTGTTCACACAACTAGAGCTTTCTTTTGGTGGTATTTAATCACCACTGGGGTTTTTATTTTTTTGCTAAATGAACAAAAATAAGACCTAACATTTTTAGAAAAAGAAACTTTCATTTTGCTTGAGGTGATTGTAGCCGTATTAGTGCATTTGCGACAGAAACAATTGAGTACTGTCCGTGATACTTTTTTTATTTGCACTAACATACAATTTTGAGGACAATCTTTCGGGGAATGTCCCCTTCTTCAAGGTCCAAGCAGTACTGATCACAAAGTTTTAGCAGAATGTTAGAAGAGATGTGGGGGATGGAAAAAAAAGAGACTAGAGATAAGACACAGCAAAAGCAAAGACTGGGGGGGAGACAACACTCATAGAGGAAGTTATGCTTGAGGTGATAGTCATAAAACTGTTGGAGAATGATTGAGGAATCCCATGTGGAAGATCTAGCTAGATATATAGGTTCAGCTCTCACCTGAATCTGGTGACACCTCCGATTATACCCAGAACACTCCGACACTCAGAAAATATTTTCTATGGGTTTTATTGAAGAAAACAAACCCTGAAAAAGAACTGGCTGATTTAACACAGGTAATATACATAAACACAGATACCAGTTTGCATAACACAGTAAGAAATCACTCTTCATTCGCCAAAGACTCCAAAAACTTACTAGTATCACACTGACTAGGGTGGCACATGAGATTGACATTGACACATGAAACAATAACTATTAATGAGATTAAACAACTTATTGACATTTGTTATAGCAGTACTATCTAGAGCAGAAATATCCTACATAACCACTGGCCAGTGGGATGAAACTTAAAGTCTCTCAAACGTTGGGGCCCTTTCATGCAGAGAGTGAGCGCTCTTCCATTGATTAGAGAGTATTTGTAATCCAGGGATAGCAGGATAGCACAGTCTCCTTTAAGCAGAATCTTCCAGTGAACATTGCAATAGGAAAAAAACAACACTTCAACAAATCTTTACCATACAGGTGAAATCCTGATATACTGACACTTGCTCAGTATATTCAAAGCAGCAAGCTTCTGTGGGGACTTGGAACTAAAACACACTCTTCAGCCACAGCACAAATCTTGAGGAGATAAACCAGTAATATACAGAGACAGAGTTTTCTCATCAATCAGCAGCAGGAATAGCTAATTCTGAGCAGCTTGGGCTTTTACCAAGATCTGTGTCACTCTGAGAATTAGAGAGCAGGCTTTCTCATGACCATTCTCCAGAGATGAACAGCAAATGCAGCAATATCAAAATCCTCTTTCATCACAGAGTACTCACTGTTTCTGGATTGTCATCTAGATAGCATTAGACAGCAGTAGAAATCCTCTCTTTCAGCAGCTCCAAACTTTGAGAGACACATACACTTGAGTGGCTGTAATCCTGAGTGTCAGGCAGGACAATCCTTGATTTGCACACTGTCCTCCTGCAACAAGTCCTCTGCTACTCACGCCCAGCCCATGGGCTGTAGCAGCACAAAGAGTGAGACTCTGACTTTACACCAGAGCCCTTGCTCCATGCGGTCCCCTGAAAATGTCTGCGTCCCCACATGTGCTTCTTCTTCCTTTTTCCTCTCTCTTTTCCTCCACAGCCAATCATAAGTTCAGCTGCAACAGTGCTGCTATGGGTGTTTCCTTCTCAACTGTAGCAACCACCAATCAGAGCACAGTCCTGCTTTTCCTGTCTGTCACTCACAACGAGGGAAAAGGAAAAAAATGCTTTGCAACTGCTGTTTAAGATTTAAAGCAACCAGCACCTCTCTACACATGTCCAAATTAAGGCCATTATATCTTGTGTCAAATAGAATTATCATTCTTAGTTCAAAAGTTTTTCTTTCCTGAATGGATTTGAAATTTCCTTTCGAGAACAAAAATATTGAGGTCTCCCAAAGTGTGGTCTGGTTGTCCGAAATGGTGTCCCACAGGTGTGTAAAAGTCATCTTCTTTATGTTCCTTGATGGTATGTGTAAATTCATCCTTGTTTGCAACTTCTGTCCTGTTTCGCCAACATAAGATCCTTTGCTACATTTTCTGCACTTGATAAGGTACACAACATTACTGGACGTGCAGCTGTATGATCTGGAGATATTGAAGATCCCTTTTGAGTGTCTGACACTTTTTGATGGATTGAATTGGTTGCACAGTTTGCAGCGTTTTTTTTATTGCAGGGTTTGCTTCCATTATTTGTGACATCATAATCAGAACGAAGTTTCCTACTGATTAGTTTATTTCTGAGGTTGAGGGGTTGTCTCAACCTCTGGCCTTCTTGTATATATTTGTTTGTATCCATCACAACAACTGCTCCCCCTTTATCCGCTGGTTTGATGGTGATGGCCTGATTATTGTGCAAATCGTGTATAGCCCTTCGCTCTAGTGGTGAAAGATTGTACAGAATTTTCTTTTGCTGGGTGGATATCAGGGATGTAGCTCGCAATCTGAAACTATCAATATAGGTGTCCAGTTTGGGGTTGCGTCCCTGTGGAGGTGTGAAGCAGCTATTCTTTTTCTTTGTGTAGCACTCCATTGTCCTAGGATTCCTTTCATTACTGTGGAAATATTCTTTGAACCATAGTCTCCTGAAGAAATCCTCCATATCTGACACTAATTGTAAATGATACAATTTGGTGGTTGGGCAGGATGTAAGGCCTTTGAAGAGGATGGTTTAATTCTGGTTCAGAAAGTTTATGATTTGACAAGTTGATGATTCCAAGTTCATCTGTTATATCCACATTTTCAGTCAGTTCAGCACTTACACAAGGGATACCTTGGGATTCCGGATTAGATTCCAGGTCACTGATAGTAGGAGGTATAGATGTTGGGTTGCTTTTTATGTTTAGGTTGTATCCAAAAGGTCTGCTCTTGGTGTAGCTTCTGAAGTTTTTTTTGCTTCCCATTCATGGCAAGTTTATTTATTTATGGCTGACCTGGAGGAAAAATTCCTGAACAGCATGGAACAAAAACCATACAGATACTATAGCTATATTGATGATATTTTCATCATATGGACAGAAGGTGAAGAATACAATTTTACTCATTGATCAACACTTTTCATCCATCAATCAAACTAAAAATGGAATACTCAAACACCCACGTCAGCTTCCTAGACACCACAGTATACATCAGGGATGATACGCTTCACACCTCAATATACAGGAATCCCTCTGACAGATGCAACTACCTTTCACGGTTCTAGCTTCCACCCCCACACACGAAACGTGCCATCATACACAGTCAGGCCATTAGATACCACCGAATATATTCTGACCCAAGAGACAGAGATAAACATCTCGGGACACTAGCAGACTCCTTCCATAAGAAAGGTTACAAGGACAAAACTATCAACAACAGCATAAACAGAGCCTTGAGAACCTGAAGAGAAAATCTACTTCAGTACAAAGAGAAAAAAAACAAACAACCGTGTACCTCTAGTAACCACATACAACCCAGCACTAGAAGGAATAAGAAAAATAATCAAAGATTTACAACCCATCATAACAGAGGATGGAACGCTGAAAGAAATATTCCAGCAACCACCAATACTGGCCTTCAGACAACCCCCCAACCTCAGAAATAAACTAATCAGTAGGAAACTTGCTTCTGATTATGATGTCACAAATAATGGAAGCAAACCCTGCAATAAAAAACGCTGCAAACTGTGCAACCAAATCAATCCATCAAAAAGTGTCAGACACTCAAAAGGGATCTTCAATATCTCCAGATCATACAGCTACACCTCCAGTAATGTTGTGTACCTTATGTTGGCGAAAAAGGACAGAAGTTGCAAACAAGGATGAATTTGCACAGATATACCATCAAGGAACATAAAGAAGATGACTTTTGCACACCTGTGGGACACCATTTCGCACAACCAGACCACACTTTGGGAGACCTCAATATTTTAGTTCTTAAAAGGAAATTTCAAATCCATGCAGGAAAGAAAAACTTTTGAACTAAGAATGATAATTCTATTTGACACAAGAGATAACGGCCTTAATTTGGACATGGGATTCCTCAATCATTATCCAACAGTTTTATGACTATCAGCTCAAGCATGACTCCCTCTGTGAGTGTTGTCTCCCCCCTCCTCCCCAGTCTTTGCTTTTGCTGTGTCTTATCTCTAGTCTCCCCGACATTCCCCGAAAGCTTGTCCTCAAAATTGTATGTTAGTGCAAATAAAAAAAGTATCACGGACAGTAAATTGTTTCTGAGAAAAAGAAAAACATGTTTCTTTGTTTCTGTTATAAAAGTTTGCAAATAAATAATTGTTCTTCATAAATTTAGGCCAAGATGTATTCTACTAAATTTCTTTGGTGAATATAACCCAAATCAGTATTTATAATTTAGTCTGTAGGAAAGTTATAGTTTGCAAACTATAGGATATATCTGAAAATTGATCAATCCTGAAGTACCAATCCAATTTCTCGAGGCCCACAAATGTCAGAACAGTACAGATATCCCCCAAATGACTCCTTTTTGCAAAGTAGACAGTCCAACGTATTTCACAATAGACATGGCAAGTTTTTTGAAGTTGTAATTTTTTTGTCTTAATTTTTCGGAAAATTAAGAAATTAAATAAAAAAATAGTTTTCACAATTATTTTTTTACATACTGTCATCAGTGCAGTACAGCATCAGCATATAACTGGTGTGGGGGTGATCAGGGACACTGACTGGTGACAGTAAAAAAAAATATATTATAATTTTTTAAAATTTCTTTTTAATTTTTTAATTATTTTTTTATTACATTTTTTTCTCTTTTTTTAAGATTTTTTTTCATATTACACTATGACCAAAGTAGTATAATGTTACCATAGTAACATTGTACTACTTTGGGGAAGTGATCAGTTTTTTTTTTTTTTTTTTTTTAGACAATTTGATTGCTTATAGCAAATAGTTTATTTGCTATAAGCAAAGCATTTAACTCAATGAAATTGATTCATTCAGGTATTTTTGTTGTGATTTGTTGTGATTGGCCACGGCTAATCACATGACATGGATGGGCTTTGATTGGCCCAGCCTGTGCCTGTGATCACTGTGACCATTCACAGCTCGACATACTTGTATGCAATGGATGACATGAAAGGAAGCCATCCATTGTATACAACTGTCATGTGACTTGCTGTGATTGGTCTGCTTTCCTTTATGCAAGCTCGAGAAACCTATTCTTCATAGATGAAACTTGGTAAAGCCCTCTACAGTGGAACAATTGCATCTGGCTCTAATTGACCTTTCAGTATAGCCTTCAGCATGGCTGGTGCTAAACTATTATGCGCCCTAGGCAAAACCAGATACCCCCCCCCCCAAAATAAAACTTCACCTCTCCTAGAACACATCCTCTTTCTCCTCAAATTTTCCATCCTAGCACAACCCCGCCCCCCCCACCTCCTAGCACAAATTCACCCAATCCCACCTCCTAGCACAAATCCCTCCAATCCCACCTCCTAGCACAACCCCTTCAAATTACCTTTCCCAGCACAAATCTTTCCTCCCCACCCAAATGCCCCCTCCTAACACAAATCCCCCCCTCCTAGCACAATCCATCCCAGTCCCCCCTCCTAAGCACAGTTTTCCCTCCAATCCCAACTTCTAACACAAATCCCCCCAATTCCCCTCTCCTAAGCACAAATTTCCCCCTCCAGTACAATATTCCCCCCTAATCCCATCTCCTACACAAATCCCTTCCAATCCCCCCCCCCCCCAGTACTAATCATCTTTCTTCAATCCCCCCACCTAGGACAAATTCCCCCAAATCCCTCTTCCAGCTAAAACCCCTCCAAATTACTCTTCCCAGCATAAAATACTACCACCTCACCCAAATCCCCGCCCCCCCCCCTTTTAGCACAAATCCCCCCCAACCCCCCTCCCAAAACATCCCTCCTACTCCTACCACTTTGCCCCCCATTCCTTCTGCTAGCACAAATCCACCCCTCAATTATCCCCATTGCCCATTCCAGCACAAATAGCCGCCATCTCCCCTCCTCCTGTAAGCTCCCCCCCACCCAACTTGGGCTGTACACAGTTTGATTACCCTGCCCCCTGTCTCCTCCAATGACCACTCATCTCTCAGACAGCAGGGAACCAGGGAAAGAATCAAACACTGAACATGCCGATGTGAGAATGATTCTGTATCATCTGTTTTCCTGGAGGATAGCTCCACTGACAGGGGAGGAGAGAACAGCCTGCACATCCTGGCTCTCTCCTGCCATTTATGCTTTGCAGGCTTCACTGCTCCAGGCTACTCTTGTCCCAGCTGTGAGTGCAGTGGTAGGGGAAGGCACTCAGCGGCCAGACACAGCATCCATGGAAAGATCTTCCTGGGGGAGTACAACTGAAATATGGGGAGGGGGGGGCGTAGCCAACCCCAGCACCCCCCTAGACCTGGCCATGGGAGAGAGCAGGGAAACCAGCGGCTGTGGCAGTGCACCCTAGGCGGCTGCCTAGTTCACCTGGTGGTAGCACCGGCTCTGGCCTTCAGTAAATTAATTGGATGACAACTATTAGCATAGAGAAGAGTTTCTTGATGTGAGTTTACTATAGGCCTGCACTTATTTTTTGATCCTCCGAGGATCCAATCAAAGTTAGATCCAAGTAGCTGATCCTTACAAACAGCTCCTCTCCTATGAACATGAGATTATACTCATTGTCACCTAAATATTTAAAAAATCCTGTCTTGGATAATTCTCTGTGCATAGAGGTTATGCTCCTCCCACTAACCATTACAGAGACTGATATAGACGGGGTAAATTTAGCACCTATCAAGGCACCCATCCATTCTTTATTTTCTAATCTCTGGATGACATGCTTAAATATCACATAAATAGGAGGATAAATTAACTACCAGTGATTGAAAGTGTCCATCAAATCTCCCAAAGGTTTACCCAGAGAGATAATACTAGCTAAAGTGGGCAACCCTATAATCAGAGTCTCCTACTTGTGAACCTTTGGGAGATGACAGAAGATGGGAACAACTGGGAATTCCAGTATTAGTCTCTGAGCTGTCCTCACTCACAATGCTAATGCTTCTTTTACAATCTGTTCTATTTCATTTTTGTAACCCATGGTAGGATCCCTATGTAACCTAAAAAAAGATATTAGTATTTGATAAATGTCTCAAAGCCTTATCTCAATAATCTTTTGTAGGAATTTGCTGCCCTTTACTGTTAGCTGCTAATATCACAGTGTTATGTATAATTATGTATTAGCACTTCCTGTCTCTGGCGGGATGGCTTAAAAACCTCAGAAGGAGGAAGTGAAGAGAGAGAGGAGCTAACACCACATGCCCACCTACAGGAGCTGCATTACCCAAATATTGTATTTTATTCAGACCAGAAGCAGAGACTATTAGGTAATAATTCCTGTGTTCTGGCTGTTTAACTGTACTGTAACTTCTTGATCCGAATCCTAGTGACAGATCTTCCAGATACCCATTAGAATGACTGGACTGTAGATCTTGAGGACTCTAGCTTAACAGCACTTTCTCCTCCAAGACAGACACTGAACTCTGAATCTCCAGAGTTTGTGCCTCAATTAGTGAGCACATCTAGTCAGGGACCCAGTCTCTCTACACAGCCAGTGCCATAGTCACTGCCCTTCATAGTCCTATTGCAATGCCTGAAAACACAGGACAACTTCAGAGAGATGTGCAGAAGATGGCAGAGAGATAGACATCCTAAATCTGTTTTGACCTAAGATAATTTGAGGGCCCCCAGGTTTATCCCTTAGCCTCACTGGTTTCATTCTTGGTTAGGAGCAATCTCCAACTTAGTCAATATGTTGCTTGCTTTTACTTCACCCTGCATGTATTTTTACGAATGTGTTGATTTTCCTCAGCACTCCATTGTAATAGGGAGAGGACAATCCTGTTTCTTAAATTGATGTTTATAATAAACATTGTGTTGCCTTTGACAGGATGTAAAGATGTCACCAGTGGGAATGTGTAGGGATCAGCTGCCCTCTACAACCACTGATATCACAGTGTTATGTTTAATTATGTATTAACACTTCCTGTCTCAAGGATGGACTTTGAAAACCACAGAAGGAGGATGTGAAGAGAGTGGAGGTCTCAGCCACATGCCCTGTCCAGGGCAGTTGCTACTGTTGTATTTTTACTAAGACCAAAAGGGGATACTATTATTCATGTATTCCTATGTTGTAATAGTTTAACTGCTGTTGCCCCTAGTTTCCTGAGTGGCAATCCGAATCCTTATAACAGAGTATCCCTATCCTATTGTTATTAAAAACCTATGACGTCCTACCATTCTAACCGCGCATGCGCGGCTCCGGGAGCACGCAGCACGGCGGTCAGCGGTGCGCTGTGTCCCTAGGACACAGCGGATCACCGATCAATGCGAAAGAGCCGAAGATGTTGGCTCGGCCATGTGATCAGCTGTGTCCAATCACAGCTAATTGCATGTAAATAGGGAAATGCCATTTATTGGCATTTCTCTCCTCACAAGCTGTCACGCTGACAGCTCCAGAGGAGAGGAGAGCCGGTAATCAGCATCTCCCAGAGGGGACATGTACACTGATCATCATGGCACTGATGATCAGTGTGCCCTGATGATCTGTGTAGCCCCAGCAATGCCACCTGCCAGTGCCCATCAGTGCCACATCAATGCCACATTTCAGTGCCTACCAGTGCACATCAATGCCATATATCAGTGCCCATCTGAGCTGCCTTTCAGTGTCACCCATCAGTGTCAGTTAGTGCCACCTATCAATGCCAGTCAGTGCCGCCTATCAGTGTGCATCAGTGCTGCCTATCAGTGCTGCCTAACAGTGCCAGTCAGTGCCACCTAACAGTGCCCATCAGTGCCCATCTGTGCCACCTCAGTGTCCATCAGTGCCCATCAGTGCAGCCTCATTAGCGCACATCAGTGAAGGAGAAAAATCACTTATTTACAAAATTTTATACAAAAACTAAGAAAAAAATCTTTTTTCAAAATTTTCTGTGGTTTTTGGTTTGTTTAAGAAAAATTAAAAAACCCAGAGGTGATTAAATACCAGCAAAATAAAGCTCTGTCACAAAAAAATGATACAAATTTCATATGGATACAGTGTTGCATGACTGCGCAATTGTCATTCAAAGTGCAACAGCGCTGAAGGCTGGAAATTGGCCTGGGCAGGAAGGGGGTATAAGTGCCCTGTAGGCTAGTGGTTAAACGCACTACAATCCATTTAACATGGTTTCCTATGGAACATGTTCACATCTATGCTTTTTTGAGCTGCTGAGTTTCTGGAAAGGGTCAGGGACTTTTTTAAAAGCAAAAAGCATTGTTTTTGCTACAATAGAGTTCAATGGAGAAGCTGCTGAAATGCATGGTAGTGCGTTTTTGCCAAGTTTTGCATTTTTATTCTGCGCAGCAACAAAAAAAAATTCCACTTTAACAAAACAAAAAAGAGAACTGAACAAAACCCAAAATGCGGTAAAATTGCATGAAAACCGCGTGTAGAAAAATGCAAAACAAAATGCAAAAAGCACTTGAGAATGCATCAAACGCAAACTGCTATTATGTTAACCAAGCCGGAGTGCAAGGTATTCTTGAGGGGAACATATCTATGTGTTTACACAAATGGTAGACAATGCGACCCTCTCCACTTCCCTTTCAGGATTCAATGCTCAAGCATGGGCAGCCAGTTGCTAGACCTGAACATGAGGAGAAGGTCATTAGGACTGTTTTAGCACTGACACAGGGTTTAAACTAAGCATTCCTGCATGCGAGCAGAACAAGGTGAAATGTGCATGAGGTCAATCTTAGTAGATGGGAGGTTCTCTGACAAGAGAATTTGACATTATTTTTGAAAGGTCAAAGTAATAGATTCTCCTTAAGTCCAGATAACCTCTGTACCCCAGCAATGGGTTAACCATGGTGTTTACAATTAAAAGAAAAAAAAATACATCTACTAGTGCATCTGTTTTCATTTTTAATTTTATGTGCATTTTTCTCTACATTCTTAGCAGAAATCTAATCAGGAAAATAATTTTTTGTTGCCTTTGTCAATGTTATCAGTGCAGATTGCCTGGTGTCTGGGGTAATTGTGACATAAATGTACAGATTTGAGTAGCTGAAATGTGACCTGTAGCAATATGTAAACGTAAATTTAGTCAGTCCTTATCATTAAAGAAATATTCAGTCATAGGTATTCAGAGACAGATGGTCCCCCATTAGCATCTGAAAAGAGACAGAGATTCTCCAGGCTGGAAGTGGCACCTGGGTGCTAATAAGATTTTGTCACCTATATGTAATCAGACTTTGCCACCTTCCTGAAGCTTAAAAGAGAAACGCAGACGTTTCGGCTTCATGACACCAGGGGGGCTCCGATCTGTCTAGGGAGCTCTAAAAGTATATACATTCATTAAAGGAGTATGTTTCATCCCTCATATAAGCTAAAATATTAGGCTAAAATATGTAGGCTACATCGGCATATAAAAACTGTTTGTGGCCTATGTAGAATGTCAGAAAAATGCAGGAAATGGTTATGTGGCACTGGAGTGCGATAGCGGAACAGGGATTGGTACTGTCACGATCGGACTGATTCAAGCCGGTCTTGGTCCAATTGACTTTGGGCAGTTCAGCACCCAGAACAGTCTGTGGGCGGGTACATGAACACCCCCCAGAGTCAATTGGCCAAGAGCTAATGTCCCGCCTACGTCCATATCCCCATAAATTGAGAGGACCCTGACATTGGAACATTGTGATTCGTATGGAGCTGGTTCGATCGACTAACGGATTATGGACTCTCTGACTTGACCCAGTCACAGGGTAAATCTTGGTAAAAGTTTTATCTCTGTTTTTTATTTCCTTTTATTTTATATTGAATAGTCTATGTGTGTCTTCTTGTATTTTCTGTAACTTTTTATACTTTGTACATATTTTATGCACTGCCCACTTTCGGGATATTAAATCTTAAAATTAAAAGTAACTTCTGGGTATTTAAGCACGGGCTTATATCTCCGGAGAGATTAGATTGTATTGTATTTTAGTGTCTATATGCTTGGTCAAGCTCATTGCCAATCTGTTTCCAATTGCACTGCGTGTTGGCAGATTGCGTGCAGATTGTAAAGGTAACAGATCTGCCAGACGGAGATCTGTGTGTGTGGGGTGTCCCAACAGACTGTTCTGCGGATAAACTGTTGGGTGGTGGCCAGCTACCGTTTGTGGTGTGTCTGGTGTGGGGGGGTGTGGACAGTGGAAGAATGATTAACACACCGGGGTTCTGGCTTGTAGGATAGCTGGAGGGATCCTAGAAGGGTGTGTGATTACTAAGCTGCTCCTCAACTCTAATTAGTGCACCAGATTGTATGTAAGATTTATATCTGCCAGTGTGCCTGTGGTCGACCAGCTGGATTGGAGTGGAGTCTCCCTCCGGTGGTGGCCAAGAGGTAGTGCAGGCTGTGAAAGTATATCATGGTCAGTTTTATATATGTAGATATATTCAAAGTTAAGTCCCCCTTATTCCCTCTTACCCCAAGTCACGGCCGCACATGCGCGCCTCGGTTAGCTAGTCACTGTGGGCGTGGCGTGTGGGTGAATGCGTGACAGTAATCATTTCAGTTGATAAGTTGCCTGAATCATTATGTGATGCTGACTGGTCACAAAAGTTTTTTTAATTTTTTTTTAATCTAAGCCGGCCATAGATCAAAATTCATCCAGTTCTGTAGGAATCCAGGTATAAGCAGGCTGATTGTACTGAAGTTGACCTATCGATTGCTATAGCCACAAGCAATGATCATTTTATTCTGATGGCTGGGAAACCTCCCACTGTCAGAATACAATAGCTCTGCGTGAAGGATTCCCCCACCAACATGTGTTCATGGTGGAATCCAGCAAATTTAGCTTGCATTACTCCCTTGCAGTCTTTTTTTTTTTCTTTTATTGTCACATAATTACTGTAGCTATTGTTATAAGCAGTCAGCTCTCTGTTTAATTATTAGAGAGAACTTTTGCAAATAAGATTAGCATGCATTTTCTTGGAAGCCATCAGTCATTGCAGATCAGTAGGAAGGCTCCCTGCTGTCAGTATACAATACCACAATGGGAGGGATTCCCCCATCCACATTAAATGTGTGGATAAGGGAATCTGATCAATGTATGGACTGCCGAAGTCTCTAACTTTAAGTCTTTACTCACCAAGTGAACTTAGGGCTTCATTCAATCCAAAGTTGGTATCAAGTTTGATCTGAGGAAGGGACACAGATGTTGCTCGAATAGGCACCTCTTCAAGCTGTTTAATGAGCAAATTCACAATTTCTTGACTTAGACGTTTCTCCATTATTTTCAGTGCATCTGCTGCATGTACCAGAGGCAAGAGGATGAGAAGGCTGCAATTGTCTGACAAAGGGAATCGGGCAACCTGAGTGGACAACACATAGTGGCATATTAGGTGATAAATCAGACCCATTTAATTTAGCAGCACTACATTGTACTACTTTTGTCTCTTTTACGATTACTTACTGTCTTGTTAGACTCATGGTCAAATACTGCCTTTTAAGGAAAAACACAACACATTTAGGTAATAACATCTTTTTGTGCCCCCACAGCACTTTAAAGGCTAAGATCACCTTTTTTGTCTAATTTCCAGCCAATCTATGTACCAATATAATGTACCTCTAGTGTACCTCTGCTGCAGAAAAAAAAACCTCTCTCTATGTTCTAGGACAAGCTCTATTTCCATAGAAAGCTCTTTTATTCTTCTTGCTACCCGTTCCTTAGTTTGGGAAAACTGTTAGAGACTCAGGAAGTAGTCCAAGAGTTGACCGCATTAACACACCCTACACCTTCCCTCCCCTTCCTGGAGATTACTCACCATACACTATAAAATCTGATTGTACAATTTAGATTCACCATCAACTACTGTATGTAGTGGAAGGTCCTGCTTGATTGGATAGATAGGCGTGTCCTTTTTTTATATAGTTTTGGTAAATCTAAAGTAGATTGTACAAAGATTGTACAATCAGACTGTAAAGCCTTTATGCACTTAAAATGAACTACATGTAAACAAAAGTAGAAGAACTGTCCAAAAATTTAAAATACAAAGCTGCAAACACAAAAAGGGTATATCCCCCCCCCCCCATATGCTAAAGATGGCAGTATACTGTATTGCCCTAAAAAATGTGCAAAAATAAAACAAATCATAAACCCATAATAAATAAACAAATGCGTGAATTCACAACATATTATAAACATACAAAACAAAAAGTGCCCATGAAGTGCAAGTGTTAATTCAGAATAGTCCTACATTCCAAAAAAACAAGAAGTCCCTTAGATGTGCAAAATAAGTACATTTCGTTCTTCCTCAAAGGTGTGCCAATTTTTTCCACTGTTACCAAAAATGGTAGCAAAATGCAAGTTTACAGAATAACAATGACGCTCCTATTACAGAGTAGTCATAGAAAACTTAACCAGCATACACAGACATCAGAGGCATCTCTCCATGTATGTCCACAAGGCCATCACCAAAAAAAAAAGCACCCTCACCCCCCCCCCCCCCCGCGCGCACACACAACTGCATGTGCGAGCGTTGACCCTGTGCCGGTATGTAAACAGTGGTTGCACCATGCATGTGAGGTATCGCCGTAAACGTCACATCAAGGGCAGTAATTCTAGCACTAGACCTCCCCTGTAAATCTAAAATGGTAGCTTGTAAAGGCTTTTAAAGCATTGCCTATGGATATTAAAAAATGCAGTTTGTCACCATTGCATGGGGCAGGCGTAGTTTTAAAGCCTTAAATGCAAATGAAGAAACAAAAGAGGGCGTGCCGGCTTAGTGCATTATTGTTT